GCTATGTTATCAGTGAGTAAAATAGGCTATATTTCTTCATTTAACGCACGCAGTCCCGAGCAACAGCAAGTTGTTATGTAAATCGATAAAAAAAATTATCACCTTTATTTCAAAACTTACGGACAAATACTGAGAAAAATCTTATACTTCACGTAAAGGCCGCTTACAAGCTGATCGACGTCGAAATTTCACAGCAATTCGATGTTTAAAAAGCCTCGTAATTTAAGATGTTGTTAACGTTGAAATAACTTTAACCGGTCGTTATTCTTTTGATTTAATATGTGGAATTACTTTTAAAAAAACCATATGATTAAATAAATAGCCTTTTATTTTCCTGTGATTAACATCCGTACAAATTTTTGCATTAATAAATTAGTGTGATGAAGTATGATCCATTTTGGAAATTAATCTTACTATCTTACTAATATTATAAATGCGAAAGTTTAGATGGATGGATGGATGTAAAAGTTTGTAAGTCTAAACGGCTGAACGGATTTCGATGAAATTTTGTACACATGTAGAGGATAGTCTGGAAGAAGACATAGGCTTTTGTTTTTTTTATTCCACGCGGACAGAGTCGCGGGCGAAAGCTAGTATTCAATAAGTACTTGGTTTAATTACTTTTTTTTTTGGTGGGGAAGTTAATCATCGTTCTTTTTTGCGAAGACAGGGTCATTTTGATCAGGGTCCAATTGTGAGTAACCTAAGAATACGTTACCTAAAACTCTAAGATACTGGTCGATGTGCGTCTGCAGCAGTTTGCGGTCGCAGTCCGCGCCGGCGCAGTCGGTGAAGTCGGCGCGCTGGACGGCCGTGCGCAGCTCCAGCGCCGGCGTGGGGTTGGACTCGGCCGCCCACTCCGCCGACGACAGGTACATCTGCTGCAGCAGCAGCCGCATCAGCTCGCCCGCTGACACACACATCTTGCTACTAACACACGTCTTGCTACTAACACACCTTTTATTAATAATTTAGGTATATGTTACTTGAGTACGAAGGAGCCTACGACTTAGTCCCTCCTGCATACGCTGACTTTTTGCCACGATTGTATGTTTTCTTTAGAATAAGTCCTTTTATGTAATTTCTTTTTTGTGGCAATAAATAAATATTCATTCATACTAACAAACAATAACCCTACCTTATCTTACTCCCGTAGGACGCGGGTTTTTTATTCTCTATATTCATTCAAATATCTCTACCATCCGTCATCTAAGTACCACCGAATATGTATGTTAAACCGTGAGGGATAGTATACCGATAGCGCTAACGGTGGAGGCTAGTGGGAAGACAAAAAAAGCCAACACCAGAGACTTCCTACTTGAGGAATTTAAAAACAAATTAAGTAACCTATTCCAGATGATAATCTCTGTGCCAAATTTTATCTATCCATTTAGACTTTTTGTTTTAACTGGTAGCACACATCTATCTTTCGATACACAGAAGCTTTACTATTATAATAACATAAATATACAAAATTTTAATATAATTACAACTTCAAAGTCATTGTACACGAATTCACCATAGTACAATTTAAATGTACTCTTTACACAGAGAACGTATCGTCCATGTAATGTAAATAAGAAAATATAGCTGAATGGAATTTACTTTAAAATATTTTGTAGTCTCTAGTTTTAATAAGATAATATTGAGAATTATTATTATCTTCATATATCTTTATTTCTTACTCTCTATATAATACATTTTACAAGAATATAAAAATTAAAATAAAATATATTATATAAAAAATAGAGCAACACCGGCTGCGGAATCAAGTGACTCAAGCAACCAGTGGTCAGGGCTGCAGAGACAGGAACCTCCTCACTAGTCGTGCGGTTTCTAAAATAACCGCCTTTTGAATCGGGCCCTTAATCCAACTGTCTAGCGAGAGCTTCTTGAGGTGTTGGTCGAAGCTCTTCGCTATCAGCCCGTGTGCCGAAACGACTATCGGAATAATGGTAGTCGATTTCATACGCCACATGGCGGTAATCTCGTGAGCCAAATCCAAATATTTTAATAGTTTTTCATTTATTGAGAATATTGTTAGTATAATTTTTCATGTATTATATATAAACAGGCTGGAGATAAATATTCAAGACTGAATGTGTGTATGTAATTTTGTATGTCATTTTAAAGAAGAAACCTTACCATTTTCATCAATCCGTCGAGTGATAGCTTTTACCATTATGTCATCTCTGAAGTCCTGATGGAATCTGTCGAAATTTACTTTCCAGTAGATATCTGAAAAGATAATAAAAACATGTAATCATCATCATCCACTTGCCCTTATCCCTTACGGTGGGTCGGCACAGCATGTGCTGCTCTTCCATACATCTCTATCAGCCGTCATATCTGAATCCACTCCTTTCTTAAGCATATTCTCTTTCACACAATCCATCCATACTTTCATCGGTCTTCCTCTTCCTTTGTAGCCATAAAAACATGTAAGTACGAGTAAATTAAAACTGGTTGTTAGTCTCATTAACTTAACTTAAGTAACCAAAAAAGAAAAAAAAATACAAGTAAAATAAAAAAAACAAGGTAAAGAACTAGAAAAAAAAAACTACAAAGATAACAAGGTTGCTGCAAAAAACATAGCAGCAGGAAATAAAGAAAGAAAAAAAGAAAAAAAAACTTAAGTAACCATTTAATAATTACAATCCCAAAAACTTTAGACATGACATTTACCACCTTTAAAATAAAAAAAACTCACATTGCAATCAGAATTATTTAAAAGAGTTACTTATTGTATATTCAGCACAAGAAAGCTACTGATTCTTTAAATTATATCATGGGTAGGAGCCTATGGTATTTTACAAAATATATTGACACTTTACTGATTACAAAATTCATGCACTATAAAAAGTATGAAGTATATTTTATATAAAGAGCAAACATGTGATCATTTCTTGGCACGTTTATAGACTACAAGCCTTCGCCCGCGACTCCCGTCCGCGTGGACTTAAAAAAAACAAAAGTGAATAGCCTATATGTTCTTCCAGACTATGCTCTACGTCTATGCCAAATTTTATTGAGATCCATTCAAACATTTAGGCTACAAACTCTAACAAACATCCATCTAAACTTACGCATTTATAATATTAGTTAGATTATATACAAATGTATACATTTCTTCCATTACTACTATATCATACATTTCTTTAGAAAAATGGCACATAACCTAAAGGTTACCTAAAAGGTAACCTAAAACCTCTGGAATAAATTTAGTTGAAAACAATTTATTTTCACTTACTATCGTTAACATCAGCTAATGTATCTGTTGCCATTGCCTGCGCTAGCTGTCTTACATCAATATCCGGTACGATTGTCGCCACAGGCTCCAGTGAAGGCACCTCACTATTGTCTGCTACTGGTGCTTGCTGAATATATCTAGCTGTTGCTATACTAATAAATATATCTCGTAACTTCACTAATGTTATATTCTTCTCCTAGAAATAGAAATTAAAAAGATTTACTTCAAGATATTGGGACTTTAGAATATATTGACTTATCCTAATGAGATATAACAGTATTTGTGGGGTTAAATTGTGAAAATTTATGTTTAATTAAATATAAAAACATAGAAAATGAAATAATGACAATATCCACAACATTGTCTTATTAAAACAGAAAAAAAAGAATAGTAATTGCCATACAACTACATTTTCCTACTTTCATTACATAAATGAGATGTTCACTGCATTAATATACATTCAAATTGTAGGAATATCAAGAGTTTTTATACAATTTCTTGGAAGTTTCATATTGAACCAATTAACCTACTGAGTAATCGGTGAGATGAATTCAATTAGTTTTTGAGTATTTACCTTATCATCTTTATATTTGGCAGCTACTGTGACCATCAACACACTTGCAGTACATGATGCTTGCTGTAAGAGTTCCTCCACCAATAATTCAGCTTCCGAACCAAACTTTGTCTTTATTTGCAGGAGATATCTGTAAAAATTAAATAAAAAAACTGAACTATGTGACTGAACACCAATTACTATTAATAAACAACAACATGTGACATTAAGAACATCAAAATATGGAATTGATATATATTTAAAACTAGCTTTCACACACAACTTCACTGGGTGGAATTAAAAAAAAACAAAAGCAAGTAGGCCTATGTCTGTCCTTCCAGACTATCCTCTACATCTACACCAATTTTTATCAAAATCCGTTTAGCAGTTTAAGCTACAATCTAACATCCATCCATCCATTTAAACTTTCACATTCATAATTTTAGTAAGAAATGAGATTTAGATGAATAAATACGAACCTTGGATATCTAATGAGAAGAAGGACATTGTCAGGGTTCAGCTTATAGTCAGCAACTACTTCGTTGAAGGATGGCTCAAATGATACCAAATCAAATTTGACTAGTGTGCGCAAACTATCAACTACCTACGAAAAGTTAAAAAATAATTTATTTCATATTCCTCGGTACGAGTAGAGATTTGTAGAAAAAAGTTCGGATAGAAACTTTAAATTCTGAATATAGTAGTTAATACTAGAAAGAGAAATAATATTTTTTTTTTTGCTATATTACTGTGTTGATACCTGTTTACGCGGCAATCCAGTAGTCTTTACAATCATAGGAATTGGCTTGCTACCGTAAATAAACAAATCGTGTCCAACTTTTTGCACAATTTCACCAAAATATTGGTGTAAAATCTCTGAAACCACTCGCCCCAATTGGTGCGACATTTTGCTTGTTCTTATACAGAATTTAACTTATTGCTAACTTAAGGGTTTGTTGGTTTATTTTACCTTTTTCTAAAGTTGAATTTCTTTAAGAAATTCATAATCATTTGTAATTATTTTTCAATTTCATTAGAAAATAAAGGTTAGCATGATGCATGCCGATGTTTACAAAATCAAAGGCAAACGTCAATGTCATTGTCAAACATTGTCAAATGGCAATGTTTTTATTTGTGATGATTTTATGACCTGGTTACTAGACCTTTAAGCCAAAGTGGCAGTTTGATTTTTTTTCGGATGATTAAATAAATAGCAATTTATTTAATAAGGGGATCATTTAGGTATTTAGTAAGATGCTATATCCTTCCTTCTAATAAACTGTACTTTTATGCAATTTAGGTAATCTAATACGATTTAGATAGTGATTATACTAGATATGTATTGGGCGGTGGTCTTATCTTAGTTTCTAGTCAGGAAAAGGACCTATTGTTACTGGTCTTGCAGAGAATCTCCATTCCTTTGAAGTAATGAAGTTGGGATTTGTATCCGTGTTGTTGTTATTATAGTTAGAATAGATTAGTTAGACCTTCAACGATTATTTTAACTGCAGTGTTACTGTACAAAATACATCATCATTACGCCATCTCACGTCGACGTATAAACAAAATTTGTTTATCAAATTGCACCATTCAATTCGTAAGAATGACTTAATCGTTCGATTACTTTCGTACTCAATCAAACAGCTATAACACAATAGGTTTTAAATATTTATTAAAATAACCTGGAAGTCGAAAAACCTAAAATAAATAAATATTGGATTACAAAACAATTCGAGGATTGTAATCGACACTTCGATTACTACCGTTAACGCATTTTAAGCATATGATTTAAGGGAAATAACCATTTCAATTGGTAATTTCATTTCAGAACCAAATATTTACCTAACAGTATTAAAAACTGCGACCATAGAAACAGGAACTGCTTTTTTGGCACGCACATTGTCTGCAATGTCATAGGACAAAATTGTCCTGTTCGCTAATGATTGTTTTCATTAATTTCGGTATGTCGTTTAGCTCCTGACCGATAAGGAACATTTCTATTTTAAGTCGCACAGTAGTAAACGGTTGTAAAATGTGCTTACGGGTTTAGACCAAATATCTTACAAAGGAATGTAAGGAATTGAGGAACTGATAGTAATAGCGTACGTGAGAATACGTAGACAGTTTATCATGATTTCTATTGCCGAAGACAACATAATGAATATAATGTTTTTAAACGCGTAGCAACGTGATTGTTTACAGAATTTTTCGCTTATAGGAACGGTTAAATAAATCTAATATTAATTCTCGATTCACTGATTGTTGTTTATCCCTAAAGTAGGCAAAAACAACATTAATGTAAACATCAGAAGCCGGAACAAGGATGAATCATGCAAGTGTTTGATATAATAAGGTGACCTTACATGCTAATGCGAAGCGAGGATAGTTTCTGAAATTGTAACGAACATCGTTTAGCATCGTTAGGTGATTATTTTAAAAATAGTGTCCTAAGGTAAAATTAAAAAAAGAAAGTATTTTCTGAGCTGATCAAGTGGAAACGTTTTTATTCTGCTTATAATTGAGCTATGAAAAACGAGAATATCCATGTCTAAAATGTAATGTGTAACATTATAATAAATTATAAATATAATGATACAAGCTATTTTATCATGGACAATAACATCGGGGCATGAAGTTCATTTGAGTCATTGCAGTTTGCTTACAATTCGTGTTTTAATTTGTTGACTCAACCGATGACTAATTAATCGCAAATCTTTGATAATTAATTTAAATAAGTAAATGGATTAAGACGATTATTTCGACATGAAAAAACTCTTCATTTGTGCTATTCATTTTTATAAATTGAACATTTACCTAAACTCGAAATTATAACCTTTTAAAGTTATGCTGCTTATATCTACGACTTTCAAGATGGAAGACTTTTTTGTCGCAAGAAAAATTTACCTGGTGCATATTTACTATGCATTTTGTTGTCTTTGTTTTCCTAAAAGAGGATGAAAGGGAGCACAATACTTTTTGTGCAGATGTTTAAGAAATGGAAACACGATTTTATGCACATCAAAGAATAGAGGAACTGGTTTTTTTATATATTTATGAATGTTAAGTGTTCTGAAAGTTAAGTATTAAATAGTAGTCGACCATATCTATTGGTTTTTTTAATCTGTGTGCATTTTAAAAATCATCTTTTCATAGATAATTAATAAAACTACATTAAGTTATCAAAACATTTTTTTTTAAATAAATACGGTTCCTTCGTGTGTCACATTGGGAGTATTTTAAGGCTATTTGAAGAATACAGTAATTAAAAACGATATAACAGTTATTTACATTTTATTGGAGTATCAGAAATAATTCTATCTACAACAGATTAGAATACAATCTTGAGTATTTTACAGTAAAACATCTTAAAATTATCTATCTAAATTATAAGTCATAACCCAATAAACATTATCCCTGATGGGGACTTGAAATTATTCTTTAGTTAATTTCATTACTAGTGACTAAATCAATACTCGATGTAACCGCACCACCATCGAGTAATTGAAGTAATTTATTGTAAACCAATTTTGGCGCATCTATAGCCCACAAGAAATCTATATGATTAAAGTCTTTGTAAGGGACTTTATAACGTTCTAATGGATTTGTAAGGCGCACGTATAACTTGTCTACATCTTCTGTACCCGCTAGCCAATCGTTGTCGGCGCTGAGTAACGCTATAGGTAGAGTAATTTTGGATAGAGGATATTCCGGTGGTATCGGCGCTCCGTACGTCATAAAATTAACTTCCGGACCGTAATCAAACTGCTGGAATCGCCCATCATTACGTATTTCTTGAGCGTAATGTATCAACGTCTTCGTAGACGCGCCCGCAGGAACATGGCCCAAAATTAAAGGCAGCAGAGTTTTATTAAACTGCTTATCGTCGTGCCCGCACAGTACGAACATCGAGTTCTCGCATATCGCCTCCTCGTAATGATTTATTTCACACGCATGCTTCGACAACCACCTCAATACTGCGTTTTGGGGTAAAAACTCATTAGCGCCGAGTAGTTTCATCAGATATGCTATGTTATCACTGAATTTAGCCAACAGTCGAATCGGACTACGGATATTCGACATGTAGGCCACCGGAGCGAGGGCATATCCTGCTCTTAAAACTTTATTATACTCGGTTTTGGTCGATAGTAAAGCGAACAGCACCGTTGTTCCCATCGAATGACCGATGTAATTTATCTTCACGTCCCATCCTTTGTTGTCCATTATATAATCGATTATCGCGGGCAAATCGTATTGACTAATTTCATGGAATGTAAAGTTCCAAAAGGAATAGGTGTCGGTTTTCTTGGATATGTGAGCTCTG